CCTTCAGCCTTGGTTCCGGCTCTGTTTCGTGGCGGGCTACGCGCTCGTCTTCTGTTCTCGGCTCCAGTTGTGAGGCTGAGATCTACGCCGGGGCCATGGCTGCACAGGAGCTTCGCTGGCTTACCTACCTACTGAGTGACCTCGGAGAGCCGCCTCGTTCTCCTCCGGTGCTGTACGTAGACAACAAGGCCATGCTAGCCTTGTGTCGGGAGCAGCGCCTGGAGCACAGAACGAAGCACATTGATCTCCGCTACTTTCTTGCTCGTGAGTTGCAGCAGCATGGTCAGTTGCGACTTGCGTACGTGGCCTCTGAGGCCAACACTGCTGATGTTTTCACCAAGGCACTTCCGCCTTGTGATCATCAGCGCTTCTGCACTCAGCTGGGTCTTGTGCCTGTCTTGCCTCACTTGCTCACCCCTTGACCTTGCTTGTACTCTTACATATATATATACCTGCTCTTGCTTGTTTAGCCTTATATATATGTGTACTCCTGCATGTGAACTGGCCTTGTGGCCTTGACCTTGTGCTCGGACTATGTGGTGACGTTGTGATCCACCCTGACCTTTGTCTGCTTTGCTTGACTGGTCTTGTGACCCCTTGTTCTCCCCCACTTTGCCTATGGGGGTGTGTCAAATTATAATATTGTGTAGGCTATAGTTGGGTAGCCCATATGGGGTACACATTTCTAGGGTTGCATATTTGTATCACTTCCATTCCTTAGTCATTCATTCTCGTTCTACTTTTCTCAGAAAGCTTCGTTCATGGTCATTTGAAACGTGGCGGGGGCGTTGGTCAGTCCGAAGGGCATGACGGTGTATTCGAAGGATCCGTAGCGTGTGCGAAATGCGGTCTTAGGGCAGTCGGGCGGATTGAAGCGATTCTGGTGGTAACTCCTTCGGAGGTCGATTTTGGAGAAAATTTGGGTTGTGCGCAGTTGGTCGATCAGTTCGTCGGCTCGCGGGATGGGGTAACGTGATTTGATGGTAACCCTATTCAGTGCTCTGTGATCTATGCACATGCGAAATACCCCGTCTTTTTTCGGTGTTAACAGTATCGGTGCTGCGAAAGGCGACGAACTAGGGCGAATGAATTCCTTCTCGAGCATGTAATCGAGCTGCTTCCTCAGTTCGTCCAGTTCGGGCTGGGTCAGTCGGAACTGTCGCTATACTCTTGGCTGTGCCCCCGGTTCTAACTCTATCCTGTGGTCGTGCGGTTGCTGAGGTGGCAGTCCCGTCGGTAAATCATCCGGGAAAATGTCGCTGTACTACTTCAACAGTGCTGCCAGATCACTCGGTACGTCGGCCAGCGGTTTCTGTAAATCCCCTCCTTTGTCTGCTGCCTAGGCTTCCCGAATGTCGACCGCGTACACGTCAGCTCCTGCCACTACGGCGCGTTTCATCGTGATCGCGTTGACACGCACCGACGAAGGCTCAGGCGAAACCAGCGAGGTAAGGAGATGTTGTTACCGTTCACTCGCACGGTGCAGTCACCCGTCGTCCACTCGATTCGTGGATTGTGTCGTCGCAGCCAATCACGCCCGAGCAAAATATCAGTTCCGTCGAGGGTCGTTGCTAGCATTTCCTAGCTAAACGTGAAGTTACCCCCACATCGAATCCGAACCCGGTCTACGCGTTCCCGTATCGCCAGCGGCGTGCCGTCTACCAGTCTTGCGTCGATCTCAGGTAAACATCTGTCCAGTGGCAGTCGCAGTTTTCGTGCTGTGGCAGTGTTGATGAGGCTGTGGCTGGCTCCCTCGTCTACGAAGATTTTTACTAAGTCCGTCCCAATTTTCCCACTAAGCAGTATGGGGCTGTCTACCGTAGTCCCCTCCTTATTCGACCGAGTGTGGTCGATTGCGTGAACCGGCACAATCACTCGGTGAGGGTCGGTTGGGTCGGGCGAGCAGCGTGACCTGTTAGTAGAGCGCCCGTTTGCTACTGACTCCCAGCGTTTCCCTGCTGCTTGGTCTGTTTCTGCTGCTCAGCTCCCCCCTTTCCCTTAGCGTTTTCCGGGCATTCGCTCTTGCGATGTCCCGGTTGATTGCACGCAAAGCAGTGCCCTTTGAATGGTTTTGCAGCGGCATTTGCGGCGACGGCACGTATCGTGGCGCCCACGAGGCCGATGTCCCCAATGGCTGCTTCCGTAGGACCCCGGTCTTGGTCGGCGGAAGAAATCAAGTTTCTCCGCCATAGCGAGAATTTCTTGAAAGTCGGTGACGCCACGAAGATGGATTTCCTGAGCGATGTCCTGCTTCAGGCCGCCGATGTAGCGGTCGATGCACTCGCTCTCGTGCATATATCCCACCTGCTCGCATAGCGCCAGAAACCCGCTCGTGTAGTCTTGGACGGAACCGAGTTGGCGCCAAGTGCGGAGCTTCTGTCGCGTCGCGATTGAAGCCGCGATTGGCTCGAAACGAGCGCGCGGACCTGCGCACCACGCGTCCCACGTGCGATACTGGGGCACCTCCACGAAATACGACGGTGCCCAGGGTCCGGTTTTTCCTTCCCGTGTCGGTAGAGTTGCGTAGTCCACAGGCTTTGTGACGATGACGCGCCACCAGTCCTTGGCGGGTCCTCGCAGCAACGACACGGCGTAGCGAATCTTAGCCGTATCCTCCGAGACGTAGTTCGTGTCGAAGAAAACGTTCAACGTGAAGAGCCACGCCTGACCGGTAGGACCATCCCGCTGACTCGGGTCAAAGCATGTCGGCCGCTGCGGCTTTAGCGGCATTGGCGACGGAAGAGCTGATTCGCCAGCCGGCACCGAAATCGTGATTCGAGGCTGAGTCCTGGCCGCATTCGTCGCGTCGGGGTGTGTCATGTCGTGGTCGTCGTCTCCGTCATGGCGGACGACCCCATCATTTGCGGCGCTCGCGGGTTGCCCCACACTTCTATGCTGTGATGCATGTGGTGCGGGCTGAATCGGAGTGCCAGGTGCTTGGGATTGTGCTCGTGTGAGGTCGTTTTGCAGGGACGAGAGTTCTGCCGTTAGTGTCGCAATTTCCTCGGCGCTCTCGCGGATTTGTTGCAGCAGATCTTTCAAGTGCTCCTGCGTGAGAGTCGTGACGTCGATATATTCAGCCATTTCGAAGGGCGTCGGCTCGTCTTAGTCTAGGCGCAGTCGTGGCTGCACGCGTTTACGAGAGAATGCGAGGACAGATGCTCCAAAAGTTGATTTCCTGGGGTGCGGAGATGCGTGGTCCGAAAATGAAAGAGGCTCTGAATACCAAGTGTTACGGGTGCAATGAATCGAAGTAGCGAGGATTGCACTAAGGTGTCAAACGAGTACAAAATGTGAGCGAAGGCATGAGCGAACATTTATACGCGAAACATGCAAACGGTAACGCGGTGCGTGCGAGCTAGCTAGTGCTAGGCTCGGGCTAGTCCTGAAGCGTAGGCCGACACGGCCAGGCCAGCAGTGCGAGGTTTGGTGAAACAGTGCGCGCGAAGTCGGCGAAGCCCCGTTAGCAGTAACGGGCGAACAACGGCTGCTGCTGTACGCGATGTTGGAGGGTGCGCTAAGGAATATCGAGAAAATTCCTTACAAAAGGCATGCTGTACAACCTAATTGCTCAAAAATGATGAGAACAACTGTATATCAATTTCAGAACGTAGCTACAAGGCCAGGGCATACTATTGGTAGACACACTAAACGGCCATACATTTCGAGCCACATCAGCAAGCCGCACGCCCCAACCAAGCAGTGCGACTCGGCTTCCAGCCCTGAGCCGTCCTGAACGTGGTTTGCTCTGTGTTTCGCCTAGCGGCGGGGCACTGGGCAGCAGCGCTTTCGAGCTTTTATCGGAGGAGGTTCGTGCCAAGCTTCTGGCCCAGCCAGACTTCCGAGCTTATTGAAACGGACTAGCTCGGGAACGCGATTGTCGGTGCGCGATGCTTATCCAATCGAGACCGTCCATCGTAGAATGTCGGCATCCCTCCAAGCTTTCACAATTTTCCAGTTTCCTTGCTCCAACTTACAGAGGAGCCCTACACCAGCCTCCAACATCCCCCCCCCCCCGAACCCAGCAAGCCACGCTCCAGGTTCCGTCCGTCCACTTGAATGCATTTTTCCAGTCGCTCAATGCGGTTCTGCTGCTGCTGCATCTCGCTTGTCTTGGCCCCATTTCCATCAGCTCCTTTGGGAGCTGAGAAGTCGAACCAAAGTCGGGCTGTAGCTGGAAATAACTGCGTGCAATACAGATAAGACTTCTTTTGGGCCTCGTTCAAGAGACAAACCGCGTTTAAATTAGTCGGATGTATTAGCGTCGAGCACTGAAGTTGGTTACATCACCGCATTTCTCGCATGCCTTTCGACTCAAACTAGAAAGGACGTGCATTTTGCCAGTCTTCCTGCTAGCCCTCCACCTATTCTTACGTTCTACTCGCTAGACCGGTGTATGTGCCTTGCGTGGAACCGTCTCGTAGTGGCAGCAGTCGAAAAAGAGCATGCTGATACCTTTCTCGCGTTCTTCTCAAAAGCTACCAGCCAATATGCATCCCCATTCTCTAAATTCCTCGTGCAGTCGCCTTTCTTCAGCATCCAAGCGCCTAGGAAGTAGCAAAATCCCGTTCTTGCTCCTTATCTTAGCCACCCTTCACGCCACCTCGCCAATAAGAACAGCCGAAGCAGTCAAAACCGCCGCTTACCGCCACGCGGATGTTCCTGACGCGTTGCTCCGATTACAGCAAGACGCGCGATCGCTTATCGAGCTTCACGAGTCGTACTATCAACCGCAGCAGGCGCAGCGGCAGTCGAGCGGCAATGCTTACCACCAGCAGCAACATGGCGTCGGGCGACATCTGCTCCAGTCGGTTCTGTCGCCAGACGGCTCGACTGTGGTCAATGCGACAGGCTCCGTTCTGGCGAATGCGACAATCCTGCTGGCGACGGATCGCACGCGTCGCATCAACCCGATAAACGAGTTCAAGTACTACATCGGCGGGTGGAACCTTTCGTCTGACGACTACTGGGCCGTAAGTGACGCTTACTTATCACGTCCTATGCGACAAAGGTTTCTCTTTTCTTTGGCTTTTGGCAGAACCCAGAAGGAATTCATGACCCCATTCCTCTCTCTTTCCCTCTCCTCTCGGACACAGCCTCGCGTCTTTGATAGCGTGCCTTTTTCCAGAGTCTCAACCCACCACTCGACCCTACTGACCTCCCTCTAACCCCGCTCTCGTTCTTTCCTTTTCTCTGCTTCTTTTCGGGTTAACTGAACACACTAGGACATGTATCCACCCTCAGTCGAAAACTGTTACCCCAGCTATCTACATCCTTCCACCCCTCGTCCTCCCCCCGCTGCCTCCATCCCACTCCCCGCTCCCCCTTGCCTCTCTCTGCCCCACTCAGGGGTGTGACCGGCAACAAGATTGACGTGCCGGTGATAAACTTCGGTTTCGCGTGCCTGCAGCTGGCTTTCGTGTTCTTTCCTCTCCCACCTCCCCTTTTCCCCACCCTACACTACACACCCTCCCCACATACTCAATACTCCCGCCCCTCCTCTTCTCCACACAACCCCCACCAGTCCGTGACATTTTCCGTGGTGTACGCGCCCGTGATCGGCTTCGCGTGGCTGCTGCTGGGAGTGGGTTTCGTGCTCTTCCTGGTGTCGCTCTTCCTCTTCTGCCGCGCGCGCTGGGACGAGATGCGCGACCCCGCCGCGCACGTGTACTCGCCGCAGAACATCTCGCTGTTGCTTTACGCGCTCGTCGTCGGCAGCATGATTGTCATGTGAGAAAGCTGACTCGGGAGAGAATCGGTCGACGATTTAGAGTCGTTTGAAAAGCAACACGGGAAGGGGGAATGTTTGGGAAGTAAAATGTACGAATCACCTCGCCGAACGCAGGATGACTGGGACCGCGATAGGGGGGGGAAGCATGTAGAGAATCGCTCCCTGGTGTCGCCGTGCCCTTTTTGAGAATTCTCAAAAAACACGCCGTGCCCTCACCCTTCTTCTCTCCGTCGCGTTTCCTCGTCCCCTTTCCCCTGTCCTCTTTCCTTATTCCTCTTGCTTCTCATCTTCCCCCAGTCCTTGTTCTTATTTCCTAGTCACGATTTTCCCTTCTCCCTCCGCTGTGGTTTGTAACCGTCGTCGCGTTGGTAACCAGCACGGGGTTCGGCCTGATGATTGCCGGGAGCGTGCAGCTGAACGACAGGCTGGGCGAAATCGGCGATTACACGATTAAGGTTACCAACGCGACGACGACGGCGGTGTACAACGTGGCGTCGGCGATCCAGGTCACCGCGGGCACGCGAATCAACGAACAGCTCTTGCAGCGTACGTTCCCCGTTCCGCTCCCCCTTCCCCTTTCCCGTTCCCCGTTCCCCGTTCCCCGTTCCCCTTCCCCGTTCCCCCTTCCCCCTTCCCCGTTCCCCCTTACCTACGCGCTTGTTTACTCCGCCCTCATCCAACGGTTGTTGAGACTCCCTCCTTAATCGTGCATGCACTCTCACCCCTCTCACTTGCCGCTCTTCTTTTTTGTCGAACTCCTATTCCGGTTTCGTCCACAAGAGTGCGGTCTCTCGATTTCTCCACCTCTCGTTCCCTCGACAATTCCCCCTTTCCACCCCACCCCCCACCCCCCACCCCCCACCGCTTCTTTTCTCCTCCCCTCCCCCCACCCCCTCTTCACCCTCCTCCCTCATTTCCCCACCCCCCTTCCCCTTTAACCTACTCTCCCGTTCCTCCGCTCTTCCCCCCTCCCCCGCGCCCCCCTGCAGCGGAGCAGCGGCTGCAGATATTCGAATTCTCCAAGAGGGTGACGTCAGCGGCGCTCGAGCTTAACGACAAAATAACGAACAGTGACTCGGAGCTGCGAGACTTCGGGAAGAAAATGTGAGCGCGGGGCAAGAAAGGGCGGGCGGGGAAGGAAAGGTCGGGCGGAGAAAGGGGAAGGGGGGGTGGCAGGGTGAAGGGACAGGGGCGGGTGCGGTGGAAGAGGGGAAGAAGAAGGGGCAGGGAGTCGGGGGTGCGGAGTGGGGAAATAATAAGTGGGCAGCGAGGTGATGGAGAGTCAAAATAGATATTCCAGTGGGAAAAACAGCCACAGCATGTGAAGGCCTTGCTTGATTGCGCGGCGTTTATAAGGCATCTCGTCTAATCGTTCGTGCTCCTCCCACACCCACAGGTCCACCACTGTGTTCGTCGTGGGGTGCATCGCCTTTGCCTTTGTGGTTCTCACTGTCGGTACGCACCTCCTCCTTTTTCTCCTCTCTCCCCCTCCAGCCCCCCTCTTCTTCCCTGTCGCTCTTTCCTCCTTTGGGGTTCCCACCCCCTCCCACCTCTCTCACCCTCGCCCCCTCCCCTCCCCCGTCGACTGTACCCCCGTGCGCATAGAAACGCTGAATCTGTTTCTTGAGCATTCCAAAAAAACATTCTCGCCCCCTCCCCTTCCCCGTCCACTGTACCCTCGTGCGCATAGAAACGCTCGCGCAACATGCACTCTTCCACACACGCACACACGCCCATTCGTGCCTCACTCATTCCGTCACACTTCCCTCCCCCCCATTATGCCCATCCACCCACCAGTGGCGGCCATACTCCAGTGGGCCACCTTCTCTCACGTGTAAGCTGCTGCTGCTGCCTTGCCTCCTAATCTCCTTACCTCCTTACCTCCCTGCTTCGCTAACAGCTTGCCACTTTAACTCTGTAGCTTACACGGCACCCCCCGTGTTTCCACATGCCACTTTCCAACTTTTGAGGCGCCTCAGAAGTTCCCCCCTTCCGATTCCCCATGGCTTACATGCCACACCCCCGAGTTCAAGCTGTCACACATGCCACCACTCATGACACCATACATGCCATCTCACATGCCACCACTCATGACACCATACATGCCATCTCACATGCCACCGCACATGCCACCACCACACGTGCCATCTCACATACCATCCCACATGCCATCCCACATGCCATCGCACATGCCATCCCACATGCCATCGCACATGCCATCCCACATGCCATCCCACATGTCATGTCACATGTGATCATGCCATCCAACGATCTTCACTCTGTGTCCTCTCCCCACCACCCTCCCCTCCACCGCACTCTCCTCTGTTCCCCTCTTCTCCTGTGCCCTAACAGCATGTGCACGCTCGTGTGGGTCACAGCCTTTGTCACCTGGTGCATCGTGGCTGTCTTCCTCACCGTCGTCACGTGAGTGCCCCAGCCCCAGCTGCCTCCTCACCTCTCTTGAGTCCGCTCAACCCTCACAGCCTTGGTCACCTGGTGCATTGTGGCCGTCTCCCTCACAGTTGTGACGTGAGTGCCCCAGCCATCCTTGTATCCCTTGAATTCCCTTGAATCCGCTCAACCCACACAGCCGTCCTCACCTCGTGCATCATTGCCGTCCCCCTCACTTGGTACTAGCACGAGCGCCCAATCTCTCTCTCCCATGACATTCCACTCACCACCCACGGCCTTTCTCACCTAGTGTCCCACCCTCATCCCCACTCTCCCCCACCCTTCCCTTTCCCCCATCCCCCCTCCTCTCCACTACCCTCCTTCTTTTCCTCAGCTCAGCGCAGACACAGAATCAGCAGTGAAGGAAGTGACGCTGTACCCATCCCTCAGCACCGCATTCAACCCCTTTGTAGCAGGCCTCAATCACAGCACACCCTCCCCTTCCCTCTGCATCCTCATCCCCCCCTTCCCTCCCTCTCCCCTTTTTCTCCTCGGCGTCAGCACAGACACAGAATCAGCAGTCAAGGAAGTCACGCTGTACCCATCCGCTGGCACCGCATTCAACCCCTTTGTTACAGGCCTCAACCACTGCACACCCTCCCCTCCCCTCTGCTTACTCATCCCCCCTCCCTCTTCTCCTCAGCGTCAGCACAGACACAGAATCAGCAGTGAAGGAAGTCACGCTGTACCCATCCCTCAACACCGCATTCAGCCGCTGGGTACCGTGCCTCAACGCCACCAAGCTCGGCGACGCGGCTAGATTTGCCCGCTTTGCTGCCTATGACGTCATCACCTTCACCAACGCGAATCTTCAAACCACCTACCCCAAGGTAGGTAAAACACTCATGTCACGCGCCCCCAAGTAGAACACTGTTCACCCTCCCCCTCTCCCTCACACCCCTACCGCCTTTCTCGCCAATTTTCTATTCCTCTTCTAACCCTTTCCCCCCTTTTTCCACTCTTCCCGCGTCTGAACGCGTCAGCAGGCATCTGCTCGCCCTTCGGCCTGGGCCCCCTGATTATCTGTACAACGACACTGCCTGCCTTGCCCCTCTTTTCCCCCTTCCACACCCCCAACTCCCCCCCCCCCCCCTTCTCCTCTTTTCCGCCTCTCCCCCATCTTCCCCCTCTCCCCCCTCTTCTCCTCCCCCCCCACCACCAGGTCTTCCCGCGTCTGAACGCGACAGCAGGCATCTGCTCGCCCTTTGGCCCGGGCCCTGACTATCTCTACAACGACACTGCCTGCCCGCCCAACTCCATCTCCTTCCGCCAGTTGAAAGACGTGAGCACACGAATGGGCTTTAAGTCACGAGTGGGCAGATGTAGGAGGTAGGTGGGCAAGATTAGCAGGAAATTGGGCAGAGTTGGGAGGAAAATGTGCGCAAGTACCTGCTAATGTACAAGGGAGTGAGCTGCTACATATAGGAGGTAAAATGGGCATAGCTAGGAAGCTTCTATGCAGACTCAAGCAGACAGGCCTGCTGCCTGGACCAACCATGGACAGTGCCGTGCCATGCCGTGCCGTGCCGTGCCGTGCCGTGCCGTACCATGCCGTGCCGTGCCGTGCCGTGCTGTGCTGTGTTGTGCCGTGCTGTGCTGTGCTGTGTTGTGCTGTGCTGTGCTGTGCTGTGTTGTGCTGTGCCGTGCTGTGCCTGGACCAACCATGGACGGTGCCGTGCCGCTAGTGGCTGTGCCTGCCCCCCTCTCCCCACTTCCCTCTCCCCACTTCCCTCTCCCCACTTCCCTCTCCCCTCCACGTGACTCTCCTCTCCTACCCCCTCCCCCCCACCTCCCATTCCCCCACACGCCACAGCTGCTCCTGGAGGTCACCTGTCTGGACGCAGGCTGTCCCAAGGGATGGGAAGCCGCCATTGCCATTGCCATTGCCATTGCCATTGCCATTGCCATTGCCATTGCCATGGTGCCAGCAGCAGTGGCGAGGGATGCGCCATCCCCATTCACTCCCACCTTCTTCACACCTCCACACCTCTACCACCCTTTTCTCCACAGCTGCTCCCCGAGGTCACCTGTCCGGACGCGGGCTGCCCCAGGGGCAAGGATGGGAAGCCGCCATTGGACATGATGCCAGCAGCAGAGGCGAGGGACGAGCGCCTCGCATGGATCTCCGTTGACCGCCCCGTGCCGCTAGTGGCTGTGTCCCCTTTCTCACTTCTCACTCCCCCTCCGCCCTCCACTTCTCTCCACCCCCATCCACACGCCCCCTTCTCCAACGCCCACAGCTGCTCCCAGAGGTCACCTGTCCAGACTTAGGCTGCCCCAGGGGCAAGGATGGGAAGCTGCCATTGGACATGATGCCAGCAGCAGTGGCCAAAGACGTGCGCCTCGCATGGATCTCCGTTGACCGCCTGGATGGCTCCGTGCCGCTCGTGGCCGCCCTCTCCAACTGCTCTCACGTCTCCAGTGTTGCCAGGGTGAGCAGGGGGTGGGGAGGGATGGGAGGGGTTGTGGACAGTAGGGGAGGTTGGGAGTAAGGGTGGGGAGTAGGTGACAAATGTCGCCAAGGCGGTGGACGGTAGGAGAAGCGGTGGGCAGTGGGGGGTGGACAGGGTGGGGGTTGGGCAGTGGCGGATGGGAAGTGGCGGATGGGCAATGGCGGATGGGAAGTGGCGGATGGGAAGTGGCGGATGGGAAGTGGCGGATGGGAAGTGGCGGATGGGAAGTGGCGGATGGGAAGTGGCGGATGGGAAGTGGCGGATGGGAAGTGGCGGATGGGAAGTGGCGGATGGGAAGTGGCGGATGGGAAGTGGCGGATGGGAAGTGGCGGATGGGAAGTGGCGGATGGGAAGTGGCGGATGGGAAGTGGCGGATGGGAAGTGGCGGATGGGAAGTGGCGGATGGGAAGTGGCGGATGGGAAGTGGCGGATGGGAAGTGGCGGATGGGAAGTGCAGTAGGAGGTGAGCTTTGCGGGACATAAGTGGCTGACTGGACTCACCCTCACCTCTCTATCAGCCCTTTCTCCCCACTCCTCACCACCACCTTTAGCACAACCAGTACGTAGGAGGGGCAGCATCGGGAGTATAGAGTGCATCAGTGCCACTGTGGTGTGGCGCCATGGTGCTGACCCTGGGAGCATCGGTCTCAGCATTGTGGATGGCCATGCTGACACAACTCATGCTCCCCCTCTCTATCATTCCACTCCCATCCCCCCTCACACCACCAGTACGTGGGAGGGGCAGCAACAGGAGTGCAGAGTGCAGCAGTGCTGCTGTGGACGGGAGCCATGGTGCTGGCTGTGGGAGCCATGGTGGTGGCCGTGGCGGCTCCCCTCTATGTCTTCCGTGCCATGCGCTGCCTGCCCGATGGGGGCAAGGGTGCCGACAGGTGAGAGGACAAGGGCGGCAGGTGTTAGGTGCTAGGGGGGGGGAGGGAGGTGGGGGTGGTGCTGTCTCTCCGTCTTCCGTGCCATGCGCTGCCTGCCCGATGGAGGCAAGGGCGATGATGATAGGTGAGGTGCTGGGAGGATGGGAGGATGGGGAGAGAGAGGGGGGGTGGAGTTGGTTGTCTCTCCGTCTTCCGTGCCATGCGCTGCCTGCCCGATGGAGGCAAGGGCGATGATGATAGGTGAGGTGCTGGGAGGATGGGAGGATGGGGAGAGAGAGGGGGCGTGGATTTGGTTGTCTCTCCGTCTTCCGTGCCATGCGCTGCCTGCCTGATGGAGGCAAGGGCGATGATGATAGGTGAGGTGCTGGGAGGATGGGAGGATGGGGAGAGAGAGGGGGCGTGGAGTTGGTTGTCTCTCCGTCTTGCGTGCCATGCGCTGCCTGCCCGATGGAGGTACAGGTGACGACAGGTGAGAGGGTAAGGGGATGTGGTGTGCCCGCAATGGCGCACCACATCCGCATAACACCCAATTCACGCATGAGCCAAGCTTCCTCAATCCATATCCCCATCAGTTTCCACCCATGCACACATCCCCAGCCATCCATCCTCCCATGACTATCTCTCCCACGCATCATCCCCATGGCCTCCCTTTTTTTACTAACTCCTCTCGACGAACACCCCTCCCCCACCCCCAACAACGTGTATCTCTTCAACCTTCCATTTATCAATCCTCCTCTGCCCTGTGCTCATTCCTGCACCCAACCGTGGCCTTCATACATCACACCTTTCTCCTCCACTTGTCTGTTCCACTTGCCTGAATACCCTTTCCCTTTCGCCACCACCCCTGCACCCTGCAGTATGTACAAGCAACAGGACGACCCAGCCCTATCCTCCGTCATGGTGGGACCTCCAGTCCTAGCCTACGCCGCAGGCTCGGCAGCGACCCATCATGCCTTACAGCAGTCCTCCTCCCAACCCTACTCCCAAAGCTCCCAACCCTACCCCCAAAGCTCATCCCACCCTTACCCTCCCCCACCACCATACTCATTCGCGCAATACACAGCCCCACCCACCTCCGACCCTCTCGCTCCTCCCGATCAATCACACGCGCACACCCAAGCCCCAGAAACCGAGGCTTTGGCTCGGGATGCCTCAATGCCTCGAGACCAATCATTGCCGTACGACCCGTCCTTCCCACGCGATTCCTCCCTTGTCAACGATTCTTCCCAGTCGGCCCTCCTGCAACCGCAAAGCGATGCGTCGGGGAGAATAACTGCATCTGCCCAACCGGGTAACACAGTGGTGCAGGGAGCAGGTCGGAGTACCATAGGAGGACCTGGTGGGAACAATAGTAGCCCGTATAACTTGCCGACTGGGTTTGGTGCAAGCGGATACGGAAGTAGCTATGGGTATACTGAGTTTAGGTAGTAATACGCTAACCTAGGTAGTCCAAATAGGCGTATGAAAATGTTTCCGCTTTCCTTCTGTAAGGGTGATTAATTGTTGCACCATTTAGTGCATTTACCTGTGTACTCAGCTGCTAATTATGCGTATGTTCGCTTCATGCGTAAGGTGTATGATTGATTGGTGCTGCGATTGCCATTGCAGAGCGTACAGAAACGGAACCACCTGAGCTGGGTGTTACCATCACCTGGTGCCACTCCCTTGCCTACCTGAAACGGAAACGCACAAGCTTGTCACCACTCCAGACCAGACCAGATCAGCATGCGGTGCGTCATCGCTGACTTTTGATTGGGTCAGCTAGCACGCTCCAATCGGCTCAATCAATGTCGTCAGCAAACTGAACACCCATGTATCAGCGACTCGGCCCCGTCTCACATCTCCCGAACCAGCAGCAACACCAAGCCTATGCTACAGTACTTCAGGTTACCGAACGCGTGGCACGCCGCGCATGGTTTCGGTCGGGTTCGGCGGGGAACATGGCAAATGTTGTTTCCCCATTCCGCTTCCTGGCCTTCCCCAGCCTTCCCCAATCATTCCCCGCATACGTTTTTGCTTCCCTTGGAAGTGCCTGCCCATTTGCAACAAATCGTCTGCATTCGGCAGCGAGCAGGCGATCGGTGCGAAAAGTACGCGACCGAACACTAGAATGGGGGCAGGGTAGCCCCTTTCCGAAACGCAATGTGGCGGAAGAAAAAACATCTGCGCCGTTTCGCTGTCGCCTGGCCTCACGCGCGTCGCCGACAGCTGTGCACAGGCTTTCAGATTGCGCACTGCACACTGACTTGACACGCCCGCCCCGCCACCACCATCAGCCGCGCACGTAGCCCTGGTCCACTCCATCCAGCATAGCAGATTAATATCACCAATAATCACTCAACTCCATTTGTCTTCGTACACAATTCTCGAATATCCCGAGTAGCCCTCGTGTCATTTTTTCGTGTTGTTTGGCCTTCAGTACCATATTCCATCATGCTGTTCGTATCGCCCGATCCCATCTCGCTCGTCGTCAGCTCCGCGACGGGCCTCGCGGTTTTCGTCAGCCTCTTCACGTCCTACTTGAACCCCTGGGACGAGGACGACGACGCGCAGCAGCACTGGCATTTTCCGCCGAAGGAATCTGCAGAGGCGCGTCGCGTCCGCTGGGCACGCCACATCCGACAGAGATTAAAGACACTCGTGCCGCTCGAGGAGCGCGTGCAGGGCAAGGCGCCGTGCACCGCGGAGCAGCTGATTCGTGAGATTCGCTCCGCACGGAAGGGGAACCAGGAGCGCGATCCTGGGCTAGCAGCAGTGGTGGCGGAGCGGGAGCGCGAGCTCGTGCGGCTGGCGCTGGTTCAGCTGCTGGTAGAGTCGGGCCCGCCGCCCGCTCTCTGCGCCATTCCGGAGGCGGAAGACGACACGGGGGAAGCAGAAGGCGTCCTAAACGAAAGAGGGGATGATGCGGAGGAAGCGGAAGAGTGGGCGGAATGCAACAGCGGTGTGGGCTCCGCGCTGATGCGTAGAAACAGAGGGATGGGCGGAAAATCGCGCGGCGGTTGCGCACAGCGGGGGCCGGCGGAGGAATTTGTGGCGGCGGTGGCGGAAATGGAGGGCGCAGACCCCGTGTTCGCGCTGGGCCCGCGGTACGCCACGCGGCGCGTAGTGCGAGAAGCACTAGCGCTTCTGTCGGAAGGCTCCGCAGTTACGGCCAGTGACGGCTGAGCCATCCCCGGCTGCCGCCCGGCGCCCGTTGTCGTAAGCCGCCGGTCGGCGCACGTCGCCGTTGTCGCGCGTCTCATTTACCTCTCCGAAGGCGTCGGTCGCAGACAAAGAAGCCGTCTGCCAGTCGTCGCGCGAGGTGGTCGAACACGAGTCGCAGCAGAGCGCTTGAGCAACTGAAGTGACCCCACCGTTGCCGCCAGTGCTGATTAGCCTCATCAGCCGGCCATCAGCGATCTGCTAACCAGCGGGCCGTCTAAATCACCGCTGAGCTGACAGGTGGTTAGGCCGTCAGGTGGTTTTTGGCCGTCAGGCGGCCAGCCAGTCATGGACTTCCACAGGTCATGAATCCCCCCTGACCGTTGATCCTCTCAGCCAGTAGCGTGAAATTCGGAGCTGCAGGATCGTTGATCCTCTCAGCTGCTGGACGCAGTGCCATGCCATGCCACTCCGCATACACCGTTCTTCTGTGCACCATGTGCCTTGCGGGGAGGGAGGTGTGGTGGAGACCGGTGGTATGAGTCAGACGCCATGCCATCATCTCCTTGTGCTGCTGCCGGTGTAACGTATCAATGACACGGCGATTGTGATTTCTGTGCCCCCTGGTGTGATTTTCAAGCTAGCGTTTGCACCAGGAACTGACTGCTGACCTCTCACTGCTTAACACTCTATGTAGACTACTAAGCAAGCATGAATTGCCATCTGGCTGTTCATTCCAGAGTTGTGGAAAGGAAGACCTTAAAGTACACTTGCATATGCTTAGTACCGTACCATTACCGTAAGTTACCAGCAGTAGGCAGGTACCGGTACTGTAAGATGTAAGGCTGACATGAATTCGTGACTTACATGTTTGTGCTTTCAAGCGCATGTCCATGGAAATTACCATTTGATGAGAATTGCCAGTAGAGAATAATCAGTACAGTAGATAATAACGGAAGTCTGATCCATAATATTATTATACAATTAGCAGCAAGGTAATTGATATACTGTAGAGCAGGAAAGCTGAACCTCCTTGCTAGCCATGTCTAAATGAATGATACCGGTACCGTACTGTAAGAGCTGATATCGTACAAGGCAGTGAGTGCTGCACAACAAAGAGCGCTGTACAAGACAAACAATGCTGCCCGGCCGCAATCATTGCTCTCCAGGCAGCATGGTGTCGCCCTCCGGTAGGTCACAGTAGCCATTGTCCTGCCATGGTGGGGCAGTGAAGGCATGGGGGAGGTACCGTGTGTGAGCATGCAGACATCAATGCATGCAGACGTCAATGCATGCAGACTTCAATGCATGCAGACGTCAATGCATGCAGACGTCAATGCATGCATACTGTATGTGTGCGTGCATGTGTGCATGGATCTCCACCACTTGACTGCACGGTGCAACAGCATAAGCAGGAAACGGCCGCGCAAGCTGGAGTGACCAAGACCGGGACAGATCGACACAGACTGAAACAGCAGGCTGGTTGGCGGGCTGGCAGTTAGAAGCAGCAGCATGCGTGCGGTGTGGGGAGAAGTGCGGCAGTGCAGCAGTGCAGGGAGGAGCGGGACTTACGAGGCCGATGAGGTGAGACACACACTTCTTCTCCGCCAGTAGCTCGTCCTCCGTCTGCATGGCAGGGGGATGCCGGGATAGCATGGAGGGAGAGGGGTGAGGCGTGGTAGAGAGGGGTTCAGCGAGAGGCGTGGATTGGGACGAGCAAGGAATAGCTTGTAGACTGTGCAATAAGGGGATGAAGGATGAGAAAGAAATAGCTATTTCCCTCTCCCTTCACCCTCAAAATGTTGCTACATGTCCTGAAATCCCTTACTGCACAGTAACCCTCTCACCACCACCACAAGCAGCACCTCCCTCCCTGCACCCCTCTCACCTTCTCCATTCTTCTTCACTCCCTTCATCTCGCCTTCTTGACGCGAGCAGGTAGCCAGCCATCTCATTCACTAGACGCCTTTGTGAGGTCTCTCACTGTCTCTCACCACCACCACCACCACCACCACCACCACCTCCCTCCCGTCAACCCCTTCACCTTCTTCATACTTCACGCCCGCCGTCTCATCTTCTTGATGCGAGCGTGTAGGTACTCATCCACTAGAAGCCTTTGCGAGGTCACTCTCTAACCACCACCACCTCACTCTCTCTAACCACCACCACCTCACTCTCTCTAACCACCACCACCTCACTCTCTCTAACCACCACCACCTCACTCTCTCTAACCACCACCACCTCACTCTCTCTAACCACCACCACCTCACTCTCTCTAACCACCACCACCTCACTCTCTCTAACCACCACCACCTCACTCTCTCTCACCACCACCACCTCACTCCACCACCACCTCACTCTCTCTCACCACCACCACCTCACTCTCTCTCACCACCACCACCTCACTCTCTCTCACCACCACCACCTCACTCTCTCTCACCACCACCACCTCACTCTCTCTCACCACCACCACCTCACTCTCTCTCACCACCACCACCTCACTCTCTCTCACCACCACCACCTCACTCTCTCTCACCACCACCACCTCACTCTCTCTCACCACCACCACCTCACTCTCTCTAACCACCACCACCTCACTCTCTCTAACCACCACCACCTCACTCTCTCTAACCACCACCACCTCACTCTCTCTAACCACCACCACCTCACTCTCTAACCACCACCACCTCACTCTCTCTAACCACCACCACCTCACTCTCTCTAACCACCACCACCTCACTCTCTCTAACCACCACCACCTCACTCTCTCTAACCACCACCACCTCACTCTCTCTAACCACCACCACCTCACTCTCTCTAACCACCACCACCTCACTCTCTCTAACCACCACCACCTCACTCTCTCTAACCACCACCACCTCACTCTCTCTCACCACCACCACCTCACTCTCTCTCACCACCACCACCTCACTCTCTCTCACCACCACCACCTCACTCTCTCTCACCACCACCACCTCACTCTCTCTCACCACCACCACCTCCATCACCCCGCCCCCCCCTCCCCCCCCCTCTCTCCATTTTCTCCCCCTCCCCTCTCACCTTGTTGATGCGAGCGCGCAGGTAATCGTCCACTATGAGACCAGACACCACCTCATGATCAACCCCCCTCCCCTCCCCCTCCTCCTCCCCCTTCCCCTCCCCCAACCCCCCTCCCCCCTCACCTTGTTGATGCGAGCACGCAGGTAATCGTCCACTATGAGACCAGACACCACCTCGTAGTCCCCGTCGCCCTGCCAGCCACACACGGGGAATGGCGTGCAGGGGAAGGTGGGGAGGAAGGCATGGTAGGGGGAAAAAGGAGGAGGGAAATTGGAGTGAAGTGACGTGCAGAATGGGAATAAGCGGACGACAGGCCGCCTGCATTGCAGCTGCCTGGGTCGCCATCGCTGTTTCCAGCTTGTTCCCCCCTGAGACGAAAACAGGAGAAGAAAACAGGAGGCAAGAGAGGCATGATGGGGCGTGCTCCTCTGCCCCTGAGAGCACACCCGTGAGCACTGAGCAGGACCGGCCATCCCATGCACCCGTGAGCAGGACCGGCCATCCGATAGCAGTGGGGATGGTGGTGTGCCACGCAGGCCGTCACCTGCTCGCCTCCCTCACCTCACATACCTCACAACACTCACCCGCTGCCCCGCTGCCTTACCTCCAACCTCGCCTCCAACCTTGTTCCTTTCGCCTCACTCTCCTTGCCTCAGCCACCTCAGCCACCTCAGCCACCTCAGCCACCACAGCCACCACAGCCACCACAGCCACCACAGTCATCGCACCTTGGAGCGGCAGGGCAGGCTGAAGATGAGGTCATCATCGATGCCATAGGTGTTCCCCTTGGTGTACACGCCCGTTGAGAACCAGTCGCCCTCAGGCGTGGGCGTGGTGAGCGCCCTGATGGCGTCCACCAGCGACACTGCTGTTGACGCTGCTGAGGAGCGCCCCCACTTCTTGATCAGCGCGCCACCACGCTGTAACAAGTGGGACAGGGGATGAGTAAAGGGGGAGGGAGGAGGGGATGGTGAGCGCCCTGATGGCGTCCACCAGCGACACGGCCGTTGAGGCAGCTGACAAGCGCCCCCACTTCTTGATCAAGGCGCCACCACGCTGTAGCCAGAGGGTGGGGGAAGAGTTGAAGGGGTAGAGAGGGAGGGTGAGCGCCCTGGTAGCGTCCACCCGCGACCCGGCTGACCCCACTTCTTGATCAACGCGCCACCACGCTGAAACCAGAGGGAGAGGAGTGGGGATGGGGAGAGGAGATGAGCAGGGGAGAGGGAAGGAGTGAGCGCTCTGATGGCGCGGACTGCTATGCTGCACGCAGAAGGGTAAGGAGGGAGGAGGTGAGTGGACGCGTGACAGGGAAGTGGGTGCCAAGCGTGACAGCACCTCCTCGGACACGCGTGACAGCACCTCCTCGGACACGCGTGACAGCACCTCCTCGGACATGCGTGACAGCACCTCCTCGGACATGCGTGACAGCACCTCCTCGGACATGCGTGACAGCACCTCCTCGGACATGCGTGACAGCACCTCCTCGGACATGCGTGACAGCACCTCCTCGGACATGCGTGACAGGAGGAAAGGAGAAGACGTGCCGGGACAGCCGGGACAGTTGACAAGCTTCACGCATATCACATGCCGACTTCTGCGGGTGTAAGCGGAGGTTATTGCTGGGAGCGGGTGACAGGCTTGGCGCAGATGACACACACATTGCGACACACATTGCGTCACAGCCTCAATCACGCCCACTGTCTGCATTGCTCATTGCAGCATGAATTGCTGCTCCAGCCACTGCCGGTGATGCGTCACCCATGTGTCACTCCCCCACACCACGGCACTCTCAGCCCTAACCTCCCTACCCCACCCGCCCACCCATGCACCTCACCCCACCACGCACCGTCTGCACTTGCGGCGTGAACTGCTCCTCCAGCCACTTGCGGTCGCCAATGACGTCCGTTGCTGGGAAGCCCAGAATGCGCGCATTCACAAAGTCTGGTACCTGGTGGGGAGAGGAGGTGGGGAAGGTGAGAGGGACGGGCAGAAAAAGATAAGCAGGGGGGAAACCCAGTGAGAAAACCCTAAACCCTCAGAGTGAGAGGAGATCTGGGTGTGAAACACAAGCAAAGTGAAGGAGAGAAGGAGAGAAGCGAAGAGAACAGGGGCGAAACGAAACGGAGAAGGGGAGAGAAATATTAGGGAAGGTGGCGATAGAGAGAGAAGCGGAGGAAGAGGCAGAGGAGAAGATCAGTATGGTGATGGTGTCCCCATGACGGTATGGTGTGGTGTGGTGTGGTGTGGTGTGGTGTGGCTGTGGTGTGGTGTGGTCAGTATGGCTCCGATGGAGCGTGGAGTGTCTCACCATGGTGGTGGAGTGGTTGCCCCAGATGGTCATGTTTGATATCTTGTCGTAAAACACCCCCGCCTTGAGCGCTAGCTGTCATCACACACACCCACACCCACCCACACACACCCACACACCCACACACACACACACCCACACACACACACACCCACACCCACACATGAGCGCCCACAGGAGCGGGCATGGAGAGACGCGAACTGACTTGAACAGACATGAAGCATGCAGC